GCTTTCAGCGAGTCGGCCAAGAACGTCACCACCGTTGCGGCCGACATCGGCCTTGTTGAGGACGACGTGGCCGACCATCCCGACCTCGTCGCGCTCATCAAGTCTGAGGCATGGGTCAAGCTCAAGTCGGCGGTCGCCAGCAAGGCTGCTGCCCGCGCCGCCAGCGCTGGGACTGTTCCTCCTACTGCTGAAGCTGCTGATGAGGCTATGCCTGCCCCCACGGAGGTGCAGAAGCGGGCCCTCTATCATGCTCGGAGCGAAGGCAGCATCGATGACTTCATGTCCGCCTTCGACACGATGTGGTCCGAGCTGGCGGCCAAGCGAGCGCGGCATGGGTAGTCCTTCGACTGCCTGGCCTGACGTTTGTGGGCTGCCTGGGCGTGGGCGGGAGCCGCCGAGCGGGGCCAGGCCGACGGTCGGCGCTGAGTTCAGCATCGAAACCTACACCGCCAGCGGCGGCAAGGCGTCCGTCAAGAAGCGCATCGCCAGCACGATGGCGAGCGTGGCGCTGCTGCGGGAGTTCGGGCACATCAGCGAGCACGTCGGGGCTTTGGCTTCATGGTGCGGTGTGCGGGTTTGGAGGATTATGGCGTTGCCGAGCCTGCCGGCTTCTGGTTCTGTGCCGTCGGCAGGTGTTGCTGTTGCCGTGCGCGATCGTCGCGGACTTCGTCCTCCTAGCGTCGGTGTGCATGAGGTCGCCCCGAACCGAGTTCAGCATGTTCTCATCGATATACCCGAGCTGCCTGTCGGCCTGCATGCCTTCAACGTGTACCTGCGCACTGGTGAGGGCGCCGCTGGCCGCAACGGCAGGCTGTTGCAAGAGTTGGGCCTCGCTGCTGAGGCACTGGACGGTCCAGTCGTCATTGGTGGTGATTGGAACATGTGCCAAGGCGAGTTGGAGGCGAGCCAGTTCCCCGCTCACGTTGGTTGTTTGATTGTGAGCTCGTCTTCTGTCACGTTTCGAGGAGGTACAGGTCAGTATGTTATCGATTGTATCCTCCTCAACTCAGCGGCCATGAGGATGTATGCCAGTGTGGGCATTGATGTCAAGTGGGCCAAGCGAGGCCTTCGGCCTGTTCATATTTTCCTCAAAGGTGATGCTGAGCACGTCAAGCGGCTGGTCTACACGGCGGCGCTAAAGATGGACACCCAGATCATCATCGGGCCGCAAGTGCAGCCGCCCACCTACCCTAGCGCTCGGTGTGTTGCCGAAGCTGCTGTCCAGTCGTGTGGCGATCCTGAGTCTCCCCCTGGAGTTGGATGGGGCCTTCTCTCGGCGGCGCGGGGCCACTTCGCTGTCGCAGCCGCAGAGGCTATCGCGAACGCTGTGGGTCATCAGGATCGCAAAGTTCTGTTTGGTTTCGCTCGGTACTTGCAACCCCGGTGGATCGACATCACCTATGCGGTCAAAGACGCGTCCGACCTGCAGGCTGTGGCCGAGGGTTGGCAATGGTTGCAGTCTTCCCTCCTCAGCATCATGCAGTGCAAGACGGTGGCCAACCCGTCCGTGCAGGACCTGTCGTTGGCTGCTGAGGAGATCCTCAACTTCGCGACGGCCAACTACCATGGGCAGGGTCTTGCCGCACGCCTCGATCGATCTGTTCAGCAGGCGCGCGGCATGGTGCAGGCTGGCTTCGAGGAGGAGGCATGCCGCGAGTTCCTAGGGGACATTGAGCCCGACGTCAAGCTCGCGGTCAACGGAGCTACCCAGGAGGACCGCCAGAAGTGGAAGGAGTGGTGCGCCATAGCTGTTTCCAATGGCTGACGCGTCCTCCACCGCGCTACGAAGTACCGCGACGTTGCTCAGCCCACGGTGGTCCCAACGGCCCACGGTGCGTTGGCCCACGCGCGCGATGTTGTTCGGCACGAAGTGGAGTTGTACAAGAGGTGGTGGTCCAGTTCCCGCCCAGTGCCAGCATGGATTCCTGACCGAACGGCGTTGCCGAAGGTGAATCCTGGCGAGCTACGTGCAGTTGCGCGATCGTTCTCGCACAACACCACGGCAGCGCCTGATCATTTTCATCCGCGTCACTTCCTTCTCTTGGAGGATCAGGCCCTCGAGGTGGTCGCCCTGATGTTCAAGGCGATGGAGTCTTTGGGACTACCGCCGAGGCAGTTGTGCTGGTTGACCACACCGATGCTACCCAAGACGTCTGGTTCTGGCAATCGGTTGGTGGTACTCCACGCTGGGCTCTACAGGATTTGGCAGCGGACGCGGCGGCCAGTGCTTCGAGAGCTGCAGGCCAGATTGACAGGCCGTACTGGGGTGCTGCTCGTGGGCGGTCCTCCGTCGACTGCGCGTGGCTTCAGGCGACCGAGGGTGAGGCCGACAGCAAGCAGGCCTACCACGGCGCACTCGCAGTTGCCGATTTCAGTAAGTTCTACGAGCGCATTCCTTTGACCAATCTGCGCGACAAGTACATCAGTTTCATCGCGCCCACGGCCTTCCTGAAGTTGGTGTACAACATGTGGCGTGCGCCACGTGTGCTGGGGTTAGCTGGTCATCCTGCGGAGCAGGCCCTTTGTGCCGAATGCGGTCTCCCTGCTGGAGATGTGTGTTTGTGATTTCTCGATCAAGGTATGGTTTGTGAGGGAGTATGACAGCTTCCTTGTCAGGCAGCAGTTCATTCAGTTTGTGAGCTACATTGACGACAACTCGATTCGGGTATCGTCTACCACGGTGAGCACGACTACTTCCATGGTGGTCAACGCAATGCTGGAGTTCAGGGAGACTGTCACTGAGCTCGACGCGATCATCAACACCAAGCTAGTGATTGTCGGCACCACCCTCTCCCTTGCGCAGGGCATCGTGTCCAGGCTCGGCCTACCTGCCTCTGTTGCGAGGCGCAGCGTGGTCTATGTCGGCGTCGACGTCAGCGAGGGCAGCAGGGGGGCCGACCAGGGCGCGCTCACCAAGCGCGCCAAGCGTAAGGTGCATATGCTGAGGCGCACGCGGAAGATCAGGCGCTTCGGCAAGGCCATCACTGGCCACAAGGCGCAGTCTATCGGCCGTGCCATCCGCGCTGGCGCCTTGCCCGAGGCCACCTACGGCAGTGAGGTCGTCGGGCTCAGCAACTCGGAGTGGCTGAGGTGCAGGCGTGATGTCGCTCGAGGCCAACTTCCTCTGCATGGTGGTGTGAGCCTTCCGAGCAAGACTGTCTTGCTCGGTGATGGCGCCGCTGCATCCGCCATTGCGCCTGCCATCCAGTGGTGCAGACTGTTGTGGCAATCGAAGGTCTGCAGACACCCGCTCGCTGTGCGTGCTCGTTTGTTGAGGCTATGGCGTGAAGCCAAGCCTTCTCAGGTCACCGACTGGGCATATAGTCGTGCCCCCTTGTCTCGAGCTGCGCTAGCTGCGCAGCGTGCGGGCTGGCGAGTCTTGTCTGCGATGAGCTGGATGGGCCATCGAGGTGCGACAATCGACGTTCGCAGAACGCCTCCGGGTATGCGTTCAACTCTCATGTTTGGTGGAATTCAGCGTCAGCACGAGAGGGCTTTGGCCATGCAGCTGGGAGTTCCGACAGGCTACAGGGCCTTGCTTGACTTCGTTCGGTCGTCGGTCGGCGGTCGGTCTCGACGGCTCTCTAGTCAGCAGAAGTTGCTTGTTGGGAGCTGCTCATGCCGCGAGTCTGGACCAAGGCCCGCGCCCAGGCTGCTGGCTACATGTGCGATGGCCCTTGTGCGTGCGGCCAGAGGCAGACAATCAAGCACTGTTTGTATGAATGCATGCTGCCTGCCGTCGTCGCCGCCCGCACTGAGGCTAAAGTCAGCCCGCTTTTCATCAGTGCAGGTATCGAGTCTGATGATCCCATCTTTGTGCAAGGAGTTCTCCTGTATGACGAGGGGGGGATTCCTCCCCCTTCCTGCTCGGATAAAGTGGTCCTCGAGGGCCCTGAGGGGGAGGAGTTGGCGGTTGAGGTTGAGGGGGTGGCGTCTCTCGTTCAGGGCCCTCGATTGGACGTAGCCCCCGACGGCTCCTGCACACGGCCAGGCTTAGTGGAGCTTGAGCGCGCGTCGTGGGCAATTGCAGTGCTGTCTCCTGGGTCTAATGTGCCCGTGGCAGTAATTCGAGGCCCTGTTGCTGGCAACCTCCCGCAAACGCCGAGCATCGCCGAAAGTTTTGCGCTTTGTTTGATTGGCCAGATCGCCGACCGCGAGACCCTGGCTGGCAGCGACTGTATTACACCCTGCGATTCGGCGATTCCAGCAGCCTGTTCAATTTCAGCTGCGCGCGTCCAACCAGGCAGCTGGCTTTCTGAAGGTCTGTCGTGGCCTGGAAGGCCACCAATTCATCTCGGTTCGGCACGTCAAGGCTCGTCGGTCCCAGGAGCAGATTGACAGTCTGTCGGGCGAGGGGCGCCACTGGGCCGAAGCGAACCGTTTCGCCGATCACCATGCTAAACTTGCCGCCAGTTTACACCCTGCTCCATCGCCAGAGTTTTTGGCCAAGCTTGATCTCGCGAGGAGTCGGGCTGCCGATTTTGTGGCGTTGGCTGCTGCCGTCCTCCCGTGCTTTCTCGAGGAGAGGCCGCAGCGGTGGCGGAGACCCACAGCACTGTGCCGACAGAGGAACTCTCGGGGGGAGGGGTGGCACGCTTGGGGTCTGGGGGAGCTCGGCTGGCAGTGCGAAGTCTGTTTCAAAGTTGCGCCATCGTGTCGTAACTTGCCGTTGAATGGTTGTATTGGGACCCCGTCGTTTTTGAAGCCTCTCGCGGTTGACTCGATGGGACATCAGCTCGTCGCCGTCAGTGGCTCTCGTCTTGCTCCGTTGCGTGCTGTGCGGTGCCGTGCCGAGGAAGAGAGCACTGAGGCTCGACGGGGATCCCTGTTGTGTCTGAAGTGTGGAGGTTGGAGCCAGGAAAAGGCCATTAAGTTGAGCAAGCCCTGTGCCCCCCTCCACCTGCACTGGTAAAATGATTTTGTCGCGTTTTCGGAGAGGGCTTGCCCCGAATCCCCGAATTCGTGCATTGATCGACCGAGCGCCCCACGCGTCGGCCTCACAGTGGCTAGTGCGAGGGATGTCAGAGCGACGACTTCAGTTGTTGAGTACTCGGTCGACAGTGCCATCTCGTATGAAGCTCGAATGGCTCGCTTGATGGAGCGAGTTCGAGCCCGCGAGAATAGTCGCCAGGTTTGAGGTTTCGCAGCGGGTACACCTGTCGCGAGCGCCGTGCGTGGCTTTGTCACCACGCTCGGCCTCACAAAATCTCCCCCTGATGGGGCACCCGCCCAACAAGTTTTGCGGGCTGGACCCTCTCTCAAAGGACTGTCCTCCTGGGAGTCGCCCCATCATCTCCTCCTCCTCCTCCTCCTCCTCCTCCTCCTCCTCCTCCTCCTCCTCCTCCTCCTCCTCCCCAGGGTGGTTGGCTGGAGGGGCGCCCGCCCCGTCTCCCTGCATTTTTGCGCTGCTCGCGCCCGAGCGGGCGGCCGCGCGCGCCGGGGCCCCCGCGATCGCCGCGGCGCGGCGGGAGCGCCCCAGTCGACTACACGTAAGAGTGACCTTTCCCAGACGTCGGGCGTCTCGAAAAAATCGAGACGGAGGTTTCTCATAATTAGTTTTCGGCCTCTCGGGGCCCTCGCCGGGCCTCGGGACCGTTAAAAAACGACTCGGGATGAAAAACCGGTCCCGGGGAAGTGGTCGGGAGGTCGGGGGGCGAGTTTCGAAAAAATCGAGACGTCGGATGTCTGGGTTCGCCGGAGTGACCTTTGGTGCGAGTCCAATGGGGTCCCCCGATCACCGATTGCGATGCGACCGTTGCGCCTCGCGCGCTCGTTTTGGGTCCCCCCCCGCGGCCCCCCAAAGAGCCGCGCACCAGAGGTCACTCTTGCCCAGGGTCACTCCCCAGACATCCGACGTCTCGATTTGTTCGAAACTCGGGCCCCCGACCTCCCGACCACTTCCCCGGGACCGGTTTTTCATCCCGAGCCGTTTTTTAACGGTCCCGAGGCCCGGCGAGGGCCCCGAGAGGCCGAAGACTACGAAAAACCTCCGTCTCGATTTTTTCGAGACGCCCGACGTCTGGGTCTGGCGTGCAGGCGACCCCGGGCGGGCGCCGAGGGGGCCTCGTCTGGCTGCCACTCTGCCCGCCGAGCGGGGGGCGGCGCGGGGCCGCCGCGCGCCAGGGCGGACGGCAGACGAGAGGAGGCGGGGGCGCCGGAGAGCGCAGCCGGCACGCCGCGCGCGCGGCAGCGGCGGGGGGCGCGCCGCCGCGGGGCGGGTGGAGGAGCACGAGGAGGAGGGGCACGGGTAAGGGGGGGAGGAGGGGGAGGAGGGGGAGGAGGGGGGGGAGAGGAGGGGGGGGGGGAGGAGGGGGGGAGGAGGGGAGGAGGAGGAGAGGAGGAGGAGGAGGAGGAGGAGGAGGAGGAGGAGATGGAGGAGGGGAGGAGGAGGGGGCAGGAGGGGGCTCATGCCCTGCGGGCGGAGGAGAGGAGGAGGAGGAGGAGGAGGAGGAGGAGGAGGAGGAGGTCATGGGCATGAGGAGGGAGACTGACATTAGGAGGATCATACTTCGAAAGAAGAAGAATAAGAAGAAAAGCCAGGAGAAGAACGAGGAGGAGGAGGAGGACCCAACCAGTGGACATACCTACGACCAACCAGCACCCAGCCAGCACATCGACTCCAACAACACAGGCCAGTACTGACAACATGGCCCATCCGCAGCCCAATACACCCACCACCACCGCAGTTGAGGATAACAGTGATATCCCACCACCAAAAGCTGCGCCTGCACAAAGGTGGCTCATCGACTTTCCATCATATAAACGCACACCGCACACAGCTACTTCGCCCGAAAGTTCCACCTGTCATGCCTGACGGTCAAACAGGCTCCACACAGGTGCCAGCATGCAACGGATGGTTTGACACACAGCACGTTGACGACACCGATGACAATCAGCTACTATACTGCCGGGACGCAGTTCGCGACCACCAGCGACGCGATCAACAAAACTTTGAAGAGGTGGACAGATGCAGCTCACGACTCCGGGATACTCAACACCGCGACGAGATCACTACAGCGCTCAAGGCTCCACCCGTGTCCAGACCCAAGTCTCGGACGGCCGAGCACGAAGCGCCACCGGCACCGAAGCCAAGCCTTCCGACGCACAGTGCAGAAGGACCATGCTCGGGCTAGTCTATTCGGGCGAAGAGAACTATGCACATGCACCGATCCTGACAACGCCCATCCTTGACCCAGGATCGGTGCATATACCTTCCTGGCCAAGGTAAGAGGGCGTATGCACCGATCCTGGGCTCAGGATGGTCCTGGCCAGAATCGGTGTGTGTGCACAGTTCGCTTTCCTCTGTCTATGACCTCGCATCGTCTGCAACGGATACTCCCAGAGCGTCAATGTCCACATGGACTGCGCTGCCCCAAACTCCTCCCGCCTCAACTTACAGGCGTTTGCACGTCGCGTCCTCTTTACGGTGTCCGTTCCTTCTCCTGCTGCTGATGTCCACCCGCGTCTACTCCTCTACCTTCTTACCAGTTTTCTGCTTTACTCTTTTTCTTTTATCACCCGCAACAGGGTTCGCGCTGAATCCGAACAAACAGGTTGCAACAAACACGCGGGTCCCATCACCAAGGAGGCTAGGGGCGAAACGATAAAGCCTTAGGTTGTAGCCTCATTATTGCTACGAGCGTCGAACATACCATCTCACAAGTGTTGCTTTATTTGTCCCAACGTATCTTTATTTGTAGCACTGAGGAGGCCAGCCAGTACTACTTGTGCCAGCCTAATCAGTTGCCGCTTCTTCATTCCCTTGAGTTTAAACATCTGCATTATACGTAAGGGCTTCGCCCCTTGCCGCCAGCCCCGTCTCTATCAGACTGGGATGTGTGTGTATATATATATATGTATACAGGAGTCGCGTCGGTGCGTCTCGGCGCAGCCTTGGCGCATCTGGGAATATCATACGGGGGCGGATAGGAATCATCAGCGCTTATCGAGACGTTGGCGTTATCGAAGACGCCTACGGCGAATCACCGCCGCCCCCTGCCTTTTTGGAAGCGCCTATGTGGCCGAACGTTGAGGCCAGACCTGCCAAGCTATCGGACCATGTGTTCCCCGAATCGGTTTGGAAAGCCTTCGGGAAACACGTGGGTATCTTGAAGGTCATCTTGGCCGTCTGGAAGCCATTTTGACTCTTTCGGGCCTTCTTGGAGGACGTCTTGGAGGGCTCTTGGGCCGTCTTGGATGCCATCTGAAGCGTCTTGGAGGCCTCTTGGGCTGTCTTGGCGGCCTCTTGGGGCCGTCTTGGGCCTCTTGTGCGATCTTTGGGGGCACTTAGGCTGTCTCGGGCCGTCGGAAGGCAGAAGAAAAGCAAATGCCACAATCCTTCAAAAACTCATGGGAAATCAATGATTTTAGCTTTTTCGGCCCTTCCTGGAGGCCCTCTTGGAAGCCTCTTGGGCCATCTTGGGCCATCTTAGGGCCATCTTCGGCCGTTTTTGGTGGGCTCCTGGCCCGTCCGACGCCGTCGGAAGCCGTTTGGGTGGCCGACTTGGGGTCCTCTTGGAATGCTCCAGTGCCGTCTTGGAGGCCATCTTGGACGTCTTAAAAGTCTCCTGGGCTTTCTTGGGGGCCTCTTGGCGGGCCTCCTCAGAAGGTTCGGAACCACCGGGGTCTTGCGAGAAGTTTTCTACGTACGCCTTCCCCGAGAGCACGGAGTGCCTCTCGGCATGCCAGAGGGCGTCTGAGAAGCCCCACCGCCTTCTGAGAAGGCTTGACCCCTGGGCGCGCTGCCGATGATCTGCCTCTGCCGTTCGCGGCCCTGGCCCCCCGACTCCCGACGTCGTGATTTGTTCGCAACGTCGACCCCCAGAGGTCTGGACCCTTTCGCAGGGACCGGTTTTGCATTCCGAGTCGTTTTTTGACGGTCCCGAGGCCCGGCGAGGACCTCCAGAGGGCGAAAATAGTCAAAAACCTCCCGTCGTGATTTTTTCGCGACGCGAGGGGGTCTGGGCCCCTTGCGTGCTGGGCCGGTTCAGAGACGCTCGCCGCCCACCTGCACGCCGGCCCCGACCGTGCCAGGTCCTGGACGGAGTCCAGGTGGGCGGGGAGGGAGGGCAGGAGGGTGAGGGGGGAGGAAGGCGGAGGAGGAGGAGGAGAAGGAGGAGGACGAGGACGAGGACGAGGACGAGGAGGAGGAGGAGGAGGATGAGGATGAGGAGGAAGAACGATAATAAGAAGGGAAGGACGAGAAGGAGGGGGGAGGATGAGGAGGGAAGAGAGGAATCTGAGCGAGGAGGAGGAGGCGGGGGGAGAGGAAGATAATGCTACCAGACTGTCGGATCGTACAGCCATAGCGGTGGCGGGCCCTTGTGCTTATGAGGTGCGTGAGGCTCCGCCTTTTCTGAACTGGTGCCCAGGGGTCGTAGTCTTTGTCTGACGGGATGTGCTTGACTGGTTGTAACAATTTAGCCCACATGTCTGATCAAGACGATCGAAATAGGTATTTAAGGAAAACACGGGTACAAAGACCGACAGCAGTTCTGATTCATTCTGAATCAGACTCGCTGTCGCCGTCGCACGTTGTACAGTTGAGTCAGAAGGCCGCCTGCCCAATAGCGGCCGCTGTCGGTTTGGGATTTGGGACAGCGTTTGTTGTTAGGCATCGTACCTTTTTTCCGCACCCATTCCAGATTGGCGCTAATGATTTAGCCCACACGTTTGAGCAAGAGTGTGACATCCACTGCGGGCGGATAATTGAAAAAGAACTTTCGAGTGGGAGGGCGAGGCAGGAGGCAGGAGGAGGGCGGAGGAAGGAGTAGCGCCAAAGCGGCCGCCGCTGTCGTCGCCCGGGACTGCGACGGCCAGGGCGAGGCGGGGGAAGCCAAGAGAGGGAGGGACGATCGGCAGACCAAGAGAGTGACATTCAATTGGGAGATCAAGGTCAGGAGACACAGCTGGGAGACCAGGGGCACCAAGACAAGTACCAACTGGTTTAGTTCTCTCGTCAGTCTGGGTGCGGCACGAGGGCGGAGACGAGAGAGGAAGG